CCCCTGCACCGTCCTGCCGGTCTCTTCACCAGCAACTTAATACACAAAAGTACGCATGTAGGGTAATCTCTCCTTATCCAAAGAAAATCAGAAATATTAGAACTTGATTTCCCCACTCTCAGGTCTTTCACAATTCAGTCCAATCACCAAAAAGAAGCTGTGAAAAATTCAATTTTTTTGTACAAGTGCACACTTTTAACACGACAACGGCGTCACTGCACTACTCTCCCCACTCACTGAAGCATTGAAAAATCAAGAAGGAAATGTACCTACGTATACATATGAAAGAAGTGTCCTACGGTCGAATCACACTTCTTGGGTTTGATAAGCACAAGGATTTCACAGCATGGCTCGGCATGATGAGGAACACATTATATTTTGGGGAACCCTATGAATAATTACAGATAAAAACTGACTGTGATGTCATATCTGACATCACAGAGAAAAAAGTCATTGCCTTTGGAAGAGCATCAATGTTATGAAAATGCAGTTCCCGATGCCACAAATGACAGGTGATTGATGCAAGACCAATGCATCCAGTCCCAAAGAGAATTGAAAAAAAAAAAAATCAAATCAAGTTGCTGGAAAAAACTCAATAACTAAAACCCCTAAGACATCCCGTTTAAAAAGTAAAACTGACCAACTCCTGCAACTACATGTAATAACAGAAATCTTCTAGTACTGCCGTGTAGCAGATGCACTGTATGCTATGTAATGCACTTGTGCACATTCCGACGAAAACTTTTTGTGACCATTATGCCCAGCAGATGAAAAACTGGTGATTTCTAAGCACTGTAATGTGTCCAATTTCGATCTCTACAGAAGAATATTTTACAGAAATAATGTTACATCAGCCATGGAAAAAATACTAAATAACTAAGCTATACGGAGTTAATCCATGTTAAGGTAGTGTACACCATTGGTAAAATACAGTGGACAAGTGTATAATCCTGAAATATCTCACGTGAAAAAGTACACAACAGCCTCAATCAGTCTGCCAAATCTTTCTGCCCAGAATGCTTTAGTCTCCAGAAAACAGAAATTTTGTTCTCTTTTTTACGATGGTCAGCAGACTAGCATATTCTGAGTTCATTTTCCTTCGCACATCACATTCTTTAACAGGCGCCAATTTTCTTGTGTGTCGAGGTTGTAGATGTTGTGGGAGTCTCCATTAATGAACAGGTAAACCTAAAAACAGCTCAAAATAGACCGACAGAAATTCACCAAAAGCATTATAAACTGAAATTATAGGAACCTGAGTGTAAAGTGTAAAGTATAAAATAAATTGGATCAGTATAAAGTTAAATTTTACTTAAGGAAAGGATTTTCTTAATGTGAAAACTTTGTGAATTCAAAATCACCCCTAGAGCATAATGGTATGATCCAAATATGGTGGCTGTTTCCGAGCAGAACGGTGAAAGGGATTTCCGTCAACAGCAAGTATGATTTCCACACGTTAAACCTCCCGTGTTTCCAGACATAATTTCCTCTTTGCTTCTAATTATTAGTAAATCAAGAATGGAGTTTTTAGACTTTCACTGACGCGTCAACTGACGTGAAAGTGCGGTCATTAAGCACATTTGCTCGCGTAAGTGCATTGTCATATAGGCCAACTCGTTTCGGTGCCACGGACACAAGTTGACAGTGCCCCTGGATGAAGTTTTTCATAAATCCGCAATGCTACATTGCCAAAGAGGTGCATTACTCCAAGGTAAATTCAGTGATTACTCCTAACCGTTAAAAACTGCTCCTTTTTTAAGGGAAAGAGAACCGGTCATGCCTGTTTCCCGATCTGACCCCAAGGATGTTATTCGCTTACTACGACTGCCCTGTAATCCATAGATTTCACACAACATAAATTACAAGACCTTCGATTTCAGCGTTGAAAATGCCACACTGCTTTTCTCAATTTTTCACAAAACAGTTGACTCAAACATGAAACAAGTCGGTGGAATGTGAATGTGAATATTATACAGTGTAATCTTGTGAAATTACGACAAAAAACCAATAGTGTTCACTCCCTTTAAGGACAAATGAACAAACAATACCTTGCACCAACACCACACAGTCACCTTTGGTATTTGTGGCCTACTGATCAAACCCTATGAGTGCATGGATTAGAAAATCTTCGGTGAAAAGGAAATTGGACATATCTTGTACTTGGATTTACACCTGCTGTGGCATTCTGTTCAGCTTCCGTTCTGGCCTTGCTGCTTCCAGACCTCATAGAAGACCCACCTGAATTGATTTCAGACAGTCAAGGAAATGTTTAAAAAAGTGAACAAAATATGCCACAATGTCCTTCTGGAATACGGGAAGGTATTCGAGAAGGGTTGGGCCAGGTTAGGTTGGTGGGCTTCAACACTGGGCGACTAACTGTCAGCTGTACTTTGACCGACTGTATCTCAACCAATGTCAGCCCAAATCATGGAGAGTTGGACTATCGAGTTGACCATCTGAACCAGGCCCTTGGAACCACTGGTCGATTGACATACAAATAATTGTGCCAGGTGGCAAAGATCTTGAATGAACACAGCGACAGGTGCAAAATGGTGAGTTAACAATATGATTTCACGAAACAGTTTGACTGGTGTCCTTGGAGTGACACTGTACTGCAAAAGCCCAAAGGTATTAGACAAGTGACCATTGGTCAAACTGTAGTTCCACACGATCTTGCCTAACTCCGCACACCCCAGTCGATCTTCAAAGCTGCACAATTCCTACGAACAGTACAAAGCCAGCGAGCAAAATTTGTACGAGCAAATGGCTAAGGATACATCTCCATGTAGGAAGGGACGCAGACCGTCTCCTTGCTGAATTCAACTTTGAAACTCAACTTGCCCAGCTGCTGTTCGTACATGGCCAACGCATCCCGCATGTTGGCTCCGTTGCCCTGTGGAATATGCAAGTCCAAAAAAGAGTGGATGGCGATTAGACGCCGTCATAATTCTGCAATTTTCAAATGGGCCCACAAATCATGTACCACGAGTGCGCACGTAAGAAATATTGACCGTCCTATCGCAAGACACGGATTTTCAACAATTGTGGGGCATGCTTAGTAGCATCATCAGGACGAAATTTCTCAGGGGGTACTCGGGGGGGGGCTTAAAATTTTTTGAGGGGCACTGAAAGTAAAATGAACTGTGGCTTGTGCACAGGTTATGTGCATGTCCAACTTTCCAAACGGGGGCAAGGACTTCAGCTGGGGCGGGCAATGCATCCCCCATGCCCCATGTAGTCACACCACAGGGCATGTGGTCATCGAGTGAAATTTACAAAAAGCGTGATCCGAGACGTTTATCTGTTTGGCACACTGGAAGAGACGCCAAATGTGAAGGAAAACTTGATCACGACAAGGTAATGCATGGAAAGGATATCATCTGCCACTCCCTAAGTTTGCCACAGTTACCCCCCCCCCCAAAAGGTGCGAATAGCAGGTGTCCCAGTGACTCCGCAGTTAGTCATGGAACTTGACGGACTGCATGTGGGTGACCAAGTTGATAAGCAAGATACTGGTTAGCAGAATGGTGCAAGCAAAACATGGGTACCAGTTGTCTATTTTTAAAACACGACATGTGGATGTCCAAAACCAATCAAATAAGAGCATCCGCCAGGTGATAAGACAGACGCTCTTCTGGAGAATAACAATTGACCTGTCAAAGGGGTAGCACTGAACAACAGAGGGCGCCTCACCTGCGTGAAATATCTGCCAGTCGGTTTCAGGACCTTCATGGACAGGTCTAGAATCAGCCTCAGGAAGTCCCACTGATCACCTGTACGGGAGACAGCACGTTTCACGGACTGACTACAACTTTGGAGATAATGCAACACTTATGTCTCCCATGGCAAGCCAATGACAGACCGTGTCCTGATGACATGGCTACGGCTGAGAATAACATGTGCCTATAGAAGCCACTGGTAAATGGCTGAATCCATTTTCTCATAGAAGCATGTACTGCTCCAATCCACAGCCAGCAGATTTGGACACAGCCAGATTCTATTCTGACTGGACGAAACTCGCACTACTAGCCAGACTGATTTGACCTTTGACCTACCCTGTGGTTCAGTTGTGATGGGAATTGCCGTAAGGTCATTGATGACATAGTCAAACTGCTTGCCTTCTGTGGCGTACTGTTTCAGGACGGGAACGCAATCTTCGACGATTACCTGTGTAATAGAGCGGGGCAAACAATAATTTTAAAGAGGTGTGCTCTTAGATTGGGCATGCTGGGCTCCAACTAATTATGATCTTTTAAAATGATGCTTTTACGGTTTTAGCTGGAATGTCTAGAACGTGAGCGGCTTACTTTGTAATTGGAGCCTTCCAGCTCGTCCATGGAATCAAAGCAAATTCCTCGTAAGTGTTTTGTAGCTGCATTGATGACGACCTCGTCAATGTGGCAAGAAAGTCAAGGAAAACAAGTTATTTTCGACAGACGGGCACAGCATGCCAGGGAATGATGTGCCTGGCACAGCCCACTTGCCTGCTCAACAAACCACTTTCTACCGTGACTTTCTTTGGCCCCAAAACACGATTTTTGAAAAAAAGACAATTAGTCAACTTTTAAAACTAAATCCTTATGGTAACTTCAAGTTTTAAGACACTCCAAGGTCCGACCTTACAGAGACGTGCTACGACAGCAGCCAGGTTCAAATTTAACACAAGGACCGTCTTTTGCAGACTTGCCGTACAACATGTTCAGTGCTGGAGACTTGGCAAAGCTTGACGGCTTCGTCAACCTCTCGGCAAGCCCGGCAGAGATCGTTTGTTACGCAGCCTCTAGCACAAACTGATTAGGGGCCGCGAAGTTTCCAAAGGATATCTCTATCATGACGATCATGGCTGGGTCTTCCTGTCGCAGGACGTGAAGAATCCCACCGTCCCCTCCCCCGAGGACCAGAATCTCCTTGCCCCTGTAGTCCTGTCGACCGTTACCTGTGATGGCCTTGGTGTAGGCGATGTCACTCTCTGCCAAATCTGACAGGGGAAAAAAAGGTTTTAGAGAATAGAAGCACTGGGGAGAGTCTTGTCAAGAGACACAACAGAGCAGGGCCCAATTTCATGGCGCTGCTTACCGCAAACGAAAAATCGGCACTTACCGTAGCAGAAAATTCTGCGCTTACGGTGAACGTATTTCACAGGTTAGCGAGGAACTTTGGCTTGTGGGCATGTGTACATCTTGAAACTAAGGATTCTGTGCTTAAAGGGTTAGCGCAGAACTTTTCTGCTTTCACGGTTAGCGCAGAATGGAGATCGGAAGTGCAGAATTCTGTGGTAAGCAGCGCCATGAAATTGGGCCCAGACAACAGAAATCAACAGAAAACAAGCACTTCTTAACATCTTAGTCAGAGGAGCCAGGACCATTGAAATAAATATGCCGGCACACCCAACTTATTCTGAAGTTGTGGGGTCAACACTTGTCATTACATCGATCTCTTGGGGACCGAAAAACAGTGTGGGGAAGGAGAAATGTCCCCGTGACTCGGTCCTACTTTGCCCAACAAAAGAGAAATAATCCCCTCAACAAAGTGAAGGGCTGCCTACAAGGTCCTACCCAATGGAACACCACTGATCCATTTAGTATCTGTCACCAAACAAGAGTGTCAATGTTCAAGCAGCTCAGTATGAGTGACACAAAGTACGTGTCTAAGGTTGGCTTTAAAAAGTTGCGACTGCCAAAAAAGCTCCATTTTTTTCCTTAAAAAACCTCAAAGGTCCAGATACTAAATTCTGTCTTTGCTTTATTGTTAGACAACATTCAGAGACGTCCCTTCACTGACAGTCTGCGGCTTGTGTCTTTCATACAATCAGCATTCATGGGGACTACTGTTTGCACTGGAACCATCCGTTTTGACCACCAGCGAGAGACGGCTTGCTTTAACAATAGGGAGATGCCCCTTTGGTGGAAAGTCAAACCAAGCACGCACAGGTATACATGTGTTTCCATCTTTCATGGGACACGCTAATCATTCGTGTCGCATTTTGTCTGTTGATCTTCCCTGTGCGGGGTATACACAAAGCTGAAAATTTCCCCACCGGCCGGTCTGTTCCTTGCCAGTGAGGGCGTGCTCCTGGTCAGAGCAGACGGGCCTCCCTTACTTGGGTCGTTGTCCAAAATCAGCATGTTGCCATACTGCGGCGAGTGTTGAATCTTGATGTTCTGGTACTTGGAATCTTCCTCAAACACAATCCGGTCAAAGTCGTACTCCACGAGGCGGTTGTCGACCGTCGGTATGTAAGGGTCGCAGGGACTGATACTTCGCTGGATTCTTGGAAACCTGGACATAGAGAAAAAATGGAGAAAATGGACAAAATTACTGCGAATGCAGGCCAATCCAAAGACCTTAACCACTTGCTGCCAGGTGGTTTGAAAAATGCAGTGCACGTAATCGGGACATTTTCACGATTTTCAGTTTTCAAAATTCTTCAAAATTCATCATTTCAATTCATGGACGTTTACACCCACACAAATTACTGTCTGGTTGCAACTCTACTCTGACAGACAAAATCTATTGACGCTCGAGTATTTCAGCCAGGCCTGCAGCCTTGTAAAAAGAGCCCAGATTGTGTGGTGTTATGTAACTTTCTTTTGTTCACGAACATGGCACAGTGTGCTGCTGACCTCTTTTCAATAGGGGCCAGATTAACGTGCAGTGGTACTGTGTGGCTCATCGCTACGGTGGTGGAGTGCTTTTGTCTCCACTGGTAATCCCACTCGCACTAAATGTTCCAAACCATGGTATACTGTTTCAAACGAGGCTGGATTATCTCCACTATGGAGAGTGAAAAAATATCGGTAATACCCAGCAGCCTAGTCTATTGGTCCGAGTACGGCCTTTTGTTACAAGGCCCAGTTCCCTTTCTCCGATTTCAAAGACCCCGGCCACGCGTATAAAGCATACGTGTCCGGTACTGGAAACCCCGGCGGCAAGTGGTTAGTTCTGATCCTAAAAACAGGTGATCATTAGCTCCAAAATTTTATCTGTAAGATGTTTTAAATAACAAATAATATTTTTCATAATTACAAGATGTGCATTGACAAATTCAGATTCTCAAGATTCATCCCAGGACATGCCTTCACCACATTGGTCTCACAATTTCATGTACATGTACGGACACATTCTCAAAGGGTATCTGCCATGCACTTTTCTTCCTACAAACCTCCGAATTCACCTTTGTGTCTAAGCTAACTGTCAGCTAACTAACTCTCAGTTCTGGCTGTATTATTGGAGTGGTATTCACTGGTGCAGTGTTCGATTTAGCGGTGGTCTGTTGGCCAAATGACAGTTGAAATCGCCTCAGGCAAGCTGAGAAGCATCCCCAAATGCCCCGGCTGGCCAGCTGAACAGTTGCAACAAACACATCCAGTTTCCCATCCAAATCACAATGTTGATTGTTTATGAAGGATGGAGCCCAGTTGTCAAAGGTTTGAAATCATCAACTTAGTTTTTGACCTCAAATTCACTTCTATTCGTGGTGCCGCCTTCCAGCACACGATTAATTATTAATCTAACCTTTTATCAAACCACATTGTTGCCTTTAGTTTGCAACAAAAGTTGGCTCCGTTGATCTCTGAACTTAATTAACACGATTAAAAATTATCTCGCCAACGATAAATACCTACCATGTGGTGACCATGGCAAATGGCAGTGGAAACCTGAATGATGCATCTAACAACCAGCATTTGAATGTGCAAAAACACTACGAATGTGCACTTACAGGTATTTTTGGAACCGGATATCGGTTTTATGTCATTATCAGGCATCTGGGTACCCTTGAAATATAAAGAACACTTAACAAATGGCATTGCACACAATCCTGGAGGACCATGTGCACGGAACAGGGTTTTTTTTCCTACACAGGAGGCAGCGCATTGTTCTAACCTTTTTATCAAACCACATCGTCGCCTTTAGTTTGCAACAAAAGTGGCTCCGTTGATCTCTGAACTGCAGAAATGACCCTGGGCTCACATTTTTCAGTGGCACAGTGATTTTCCTGTAAAAATCTGACCTTCTTTATTGGAGCTCACACACATTTTATATATTGCTTTTTTCCTTTCTTTTTTACGGGTACCCGGCCCGAAAAAACAGAACCGGGGTTTTGTTATCGACAGGCGGGTAACCAGGTGCCCGGCACCAACCTACCAAACGCTGACCTTTTGGACTTTTCGCAACCAAGCAGCGTGGCCAACCTCTTCTCCAGAGTGCACAGCTGTTCCGCCATCAGCAAATGTTCCTGCTTGGAAGGTTCCTGCATGTTGACTGTGATCAGGCCCTCCGCGTAGCTCTGCACAACCGCCGACCTGCGGCAGTCAGAAAAAAAAAAAATACACACACTCAATGCAAACACTATCAAACAAACACATTTAATTCACTCAATGTGAATTTGTGAATTTCTGTGCTGGTCGATTTCATAAATGTCATGTTCAAAACTGTCTGAATTTTGTGATCCAAAAGATTATCCTGCTCATTTGCATATTACAAAAAGCAAGCCAACACCTGAAAACCCACTGGATAATAAGCCTGTGTTTTGGGTACATGCCCATCTGTTTACTGCATTTCACTAGTTCACAATTTCACTGAACACTCTTCCCAACTTGTTCATTCAGATATGCACTGAAAATTTATCTATATAAAAAGGCGCCTTGAAACGGCCTTGATAAATTGCTACACTTGACAAGTGGTCCTGTTGTGTTTCACAACTGCTGTTTCATTCTAATGGCATCAAATGATCCGTTTTCATCACATCTGACCGGTCACTGTGAACTAAAATGAGCCTTTACTGCGTATTTCCTCCTGGAAATTCCCATAATGACAAGGAAAACATGACTGGGAGAATCATGAAAAACAGCCCAAAGTGGTGTGCGACAGACTCAAGCCTATGCTCAATACAATTGTTTACATAATCCTAACCAATTACATGCAATTTTAATTTCATGAAATTCTGTAGGATCGTGCAAGATCGGGTAAATTAACCCTAACTCCCTAGGGTGTGTGAAAAATCATATTAAAATTGGAGGATTCAGGGCTGTTAGGGTTAAAAAAAAAATTACGTAGAAAAAAAGAGACCTCTGCTCTTTCTTTTCTGCTTAATTTTTTTTTTGGGGGGGGTGTAAAGATAATGAGTCATGATATTGGTATGAGCGCAACAAGGACGCTCACTTGACTCAACCCTGAGTTTGGTAATACCCACCGCCCATCGGGACCGGAGTACAATATCAAGCTGCCGTTATTGGCCCCAAAGGACACAGTGTGGGGGCAGCCATCGAACCCAGAGTCCAAGAAGATGTCCCTCATCCCTTGCTGCACGGTCTTCCAGTCAACTGAAAATAAAACCAAACCAAAAGGTGTGACGATTTATGGCAGTCTCCAAATCAGACAGGTATGGCCAAACAAAAAAACAATAGCTGTGTTTCCGGTTACCTTACCCGACCTAGAAAATCATGCGGAACCTGTACCCTATTATTCGACAAATCAATAAAATATAAAAACTTAAGGTGCCTAATTTTGTGTACATCGTCCTGCACATTGTATTGTTGTAATTTGTGTTTTTTCATAAGATGGATGGCTCTTGTGTGTTTGTATTTCAACGACAAGCTGCTTTACTGCTCAATCACAGTGTAATATGTAATACTGAAGTGCACATGTACAGTGTTAATCTGACACTGACTTACATGTAGTACCTGTTACAAATATCCCCCTTCCCCCCCCCCAAAAAAATACAGACCATCATCCGACCCGAATTTTTTGGGCTATAAAAATTTTGAGTAAAAAATAAATATTTTACCCGACCAACTACCCTAAGTTATGTTTCAGTGTACATTGTAATCCGAAACACAACTAATTTTTTGTTTGGCCTAACAGAGATATTACCACTGACCTGTAATCCTACATGCCTATTTGAAGGATTGAGGCCGTGTGGCAGCAATGTGCAGTTCATTTCAAAGGATGCATTGCATTTATTATGGTTTTGGGCACAATACTGTGTTGTTCATTGTTCATTTATTTCCACGGTTTGGCACATATACAATCTCAATTTTCAAACACTACATAAATACCGTGGAAAAGGCAAAGAAATACCCATTGAAAATTTAAAAAGCAAAGCTTATGATTTGTGGCTCCTTAAAGCAATGTATAGTTACTATTGATTAATTACCACGCACAAAAGACAATCCAGCACTAGATAGACGAGACAATCACACTCAACTAAATTTAGGCCCAGATTTCATTTAAAAAGCATCCACGCTGCTCTGAGGTTGCATCCATGCAAAATGTGAAGGAGTTCCGAGTTGATTTACTGGTTCCATGGTACAAAGTTCTCACTGGAACCCTCGTCTTTTTGGAGTCAACTGAGGAAGCATAAAAGACTGGTTTTCACAATATGGCCTTCAGTTGTACAGGGTACCTGTGTCACCCATTGACATACAAATACCACAGAGCGGTGTTCACTTTGTCCTTGAACTGAAAGACTGGCTTTCTAAGCACTGTACAGGCAGAAATGTTCAGGAACCAAAAGTCCAACAAAACAAGTCTACACAGTGTAAACTGAGCAGGATAATGCACTTTCAGAGTTAAAGAAAATCAATCAGGGAATGGATCCCCTGATCCATGACATTCAGAAACGGAAAAAAAAATCCGTTCAGGGACTCAGAGTACATGTACGTTGATGGGTGAAATTCACTCCATGGCAGTTCACACACACACACACAAAGATGTAGTTCTCGAGCACTAGCTCTGAAGACAACTTAGCACACTGTCACTGTTTCACTCAGGAAGCATTCTGGGGTCAAGTACCAACTCAGAAATTACACACACACACACACACGCACACACATATTTACATATGTCAAAGCATCATTTAATATCGGGAATGGTATTCACCCACTGATGAGTTTGAAAGCAACAGTTATTTTCAAACAATGTTGTCTATAAGCTGGGCGTTGGTGGTAAAGTGAGCGCCACAATCCCTATCAGTCCCAGATGATCACTAAATCAGCATTGTACACATAGCACTTGTCAAGTCTGGGAGGCAGAAATATTTTTTTTAAAAAGGCAGCCAAAAATTTCCCAAAGTTGGATTTTTTTCTCATTTTTTGGTTTGTTTTTTGGTGTTTTGCTTTTCGTTTGCTTCATGCTGGGGTTGTTTTAATTTTTGTTAAGGATTTTTCTAATGTCTCGGTTTTGTTTTCGTTGCGTGAAATCTATTATTGGAATGCTCAATGCCATTGCTCACGTTGTGGTCGTGCTAAATGCATATACTGTGCTGGACATGTCACCCACACATGCTCAGTCAGGGAATCCAGTCTGAGGTAAGCATTCCACATACGGAAAATCACAAGTTTTCCCTTGCAGGAGTTTATTAACCATCACAGATTTCCTAAAAAGTCAAATTTAGCACCGTGAACCATTTACTTAGAAAACATTTAGAATTTTTAATTACAAGCTTTGTCCTCACACTAACCACACACTAATGTGTATTCATAAGTACTGTATAATTGAAGCTTGTCTGAGAGCTTATGAAAAAATTCACAAGCTTACTTGGGTGGGACTTGAGCCCACGACCTCCTGCTTACTAGTGCAGATGTCTTAACCACTCGGCTGCCGAGCTTGCCAGGGACAGCTGGCCGTTACAAGTCAGATGCACGGTGTAGCAGCAGGTACCCATGGCGACTTACATGTACATGTACTTTGCATAGAATTTTGAAGACCAGTAACATAAGTTTTGTACACAGCATGTCAACTAATGTCTTGATATGGAACTCTTTCTAATGGAAAATTGGCACAATCAGGCAGACGCCTTGTGCAGGTAAAGGTTGAGACATATTTGAGACAAGTGGATAACATCATTTAAAATATATGCTACAGTAGGGCAAGCCCACCAGAGAAGTAGCTGGGATCATGCACAACTGTAGTTGGGCTGGCCCAACTACATGTGCCACTATAGTTGGGAGCTATATATGCAATCACACATATGAAGCCAAACCACGGTTCACAACCATGCACAATGCATGACATCTAGATGCTCAACCAACCATAAAAACTTCACGTGTGAAATTAGGCTCCAATAGCATTCGGGCTTTATTTTCCTTAAAAAAAAAACCTCCCTGCCCACAATTCCGACCCGTGATTCGAACCCACACCCCTTGCATCACAAATCATTATGCCGTAACCGCTTGACTACCCCAATTCACACAAATTGATGGTGTTTTTACTGTTGATATACCGAGGAACTGCTGCAACGCGAGTCTAATACACATTGGGCATGCGCAATACAAACACAACCATCGCGGTTTGGCTTCATACGTACGGTTACATATATATCTCATAGTTGGGCTGGCCCAACTACATGTACGTGTACCCCTATAGTTGGGCTGGTCCCAACTACACAATACCACTATAGTTGGGCTGGCCCCAACTACACAATACCACTATAGTTGGGCTAACCCTAACTATACTGTACATAAACCTTATCGCAAATACTGCACGGGTGATTTTGCACTATGGTAAAAAGGCTTTGTGTCTACAATGTGCAAAATCTCTCATGCAGTATTTGCAATAAGGCTTATATGCTAGCCTATAGTTGGGACTAACCATGCTAACACTGGGGTGCAACAGTATGACAGAGGTCTGACCTTCCAGGCAATGGAGACAGTGAAAAATTAATGACTTAATTAATTCCATCAAACAACGAAAAGAGTTCTGTGCAAAGGACACTTGATGCCCTGTGCACATGGGATTTGTCTGAAAAAGTGTTTTCTAAGTAAATGCTTTTGAATTTTCTCAGCTCGATTTTTGGGAGGATGGGACATAGGGCGTATGTGTTTCACTTTCTGACGTCAGTCACGTCAGTGTCATAACCTCAATATCATATGGGAGAATTAGTCATGTTTAATATTGTCCGTAATCAGGTAATCATGGTATGCATGGAGGAAGGAAAAGACTCTTTCCCGGCTGACGACTGACATTCGACTGCCCCCACTGGACCCCAGAACTGTGGGATCCGACGTCGGCCCCGCTCCCACGAAGGGCCTCCCAGTGGCCGTGGGAGCGGGGCGGGCGTCACATGTCACACCCCGCAGTTCAGGGGATCATGGAGGTACGGCTACTCCCTCCATGATCACACCAAGCGTACGGTAGTATACTAAGCCTACCTGGGTTAAGGAACACCTGAGAAGACACACTGAAGTTGAAGAGTGTAGTCGATGCCATGGCATGGGTGGTGCTGCCGCTTGAGTAAGTTGAACCAATTGAGTTGAACGTTCGCTGATTCCAACAATACTTCGGAGTTCGGATCTAGTCTCTGCGCTTTGCAATAGTATACCACTAGCGACACTTCTTTTAAATCATTAAACAGCGACTCTGGCTGTATAGTACATAATTAACCAGGCCTGAGCACCCCGGAGTGACACCACATGCGAACTGCTTATCTGTACTATCACCGTAGGCCCGTACCTAGGGCTAGGGGAGCACTTCTTTTATCAGTGATATACTAGGCGCAAGGCCTGCACGTGTTCAGCTGGCCCAGGTCGTCGATTTTGTGGTTATTGTATGTAGGGCGCCCTCGCACGAGTGTTTTGACACGGACTGTCTGCTGTATGGTTCTGGCAAAAACTACCTGGAAAAAAAGCTTTTTGTGTGACTAAATACAATTTCATAAGGACCTAACCCACTTTTTCTTGACGGATGGGACGTTCTTCTTTACGGACCCGCCCCTGTAGTTGGACATCTTGCGACAGGGCAGGATTTCATTACGTGCATTTTTCATAACCTATAACCTCAATACGTACATATACATTTCAGCCATGAAGTCGCGAGTTACACATGATGGAAAACTCTGTTCCACGACGCAAAGAACGAGTGCCATCAAGGGTTTTCTAGGGGTTACAAATTCAGGAAAGTGTCTTTATTAAGCGTTCTGACAAAATACCAAGGAAATGCCCAACCGCTGTCCCCAAAATGACTCCAGCGTTTTATCCTTTCACTTTCGTTTGAATATGAGTTGTCAATTTTCACAGGATGTTATTTACAGCATACCTGACCTTTCCCCTTTCAAGTGATGCCACTTAAGAAGCATCACGAGTGCCAGCAAACCCACCTCGAATATGCAAAAAGTAACATTGTTATGAATCACTGGTAGTTATGTACATTGTACAAGTAGCAATGAGGTGGGCACATGCAATTCCACAATGTGCTCAACAGATAGCATCACAGTGTGGCAAATACGATCGTGATTCAGAAACCATATTTCTCAAAGCAAAGTCCCGAAATCTTTCTGGCAAACCACAGTGAAGCAACAAATAAAAGGCCACGGGGGGTGTTGACAATACGGGCGATTCACAATACAGCACCTCCAAGAATTTGCAACGTGTTGGCCAATCACAACGCGCGAAATCTGTTGACCCTTTCAAAATGCGAATTTGGTCGACAGATTTCGTGCACTCTGATTGGCCAACGTGTTGCAAACTCTTGGAGGCGCTCTATTGTGAATTGCCTGTACTGCCCAGATACACTCTAGCTCTGTCATTTAGCCGCCATGAAATCGCCAGTTTTAATACAATGAATTCAACAGACTTTTAATACAAATGTACAATAAAAAAACAACAAATTTATGATTTTGTAACAGAAACAAGTTTCCCCTGTCACTTTGTAACAGGACAGAATAAAAAGATGGATTGGCATGTGGGAATGAACTGTTCCAATATGTGGTTTCAACTTTACAGTAATCTTTCAGAACACATTCTTATATCCAGGCTGAATTTTTGTGGAGATTTTTACAGTTAGCTTGGTATTCCAAACTAAGGATAGTATCGATCGTTACACAAATCAGATGTCAGTCTCACTCGTTGACGATCTTCCAATTATGCATGGAGGATTTGAGAAGATTGGGGTTAATGACGTGTCCTTTCAATCTTACCCTTGGGGAAAAGGAAAAAAAAATCAACACAGTGAAACATCCAACAGACACAGCCTGTTTAAAATGGGCTTGATCGTAACTGAGGAACGCCATCACAGAACCAAAAGAACAGTTTAGCGTAACTATTAAGTAACTTTTAAAAACGGATTCCGTGAAATCAGCCGCAAATATTCCATGCAAATGGGCTTTTTCATGTCATTACAAAACCCACGTTCACCCTAAAAGATCGTGATATTGAAAGCATTCCGGTGTGCTGTGCCTTCAGGAGTGCTCAAGGAAAAATCTTGACGTGACGGTGCATTACAAAAAAGAGCAACTTGCTCATAAAACCAGAGCCATGTCATTATGCACAAGTTACGTGTGCCTGTTTCTAAGATGTCACAATTATTCTTGTTTGACTGACAATATCATTGTATGTCGATGGCTGGCTACTTTCGTTAAAAATTCGAACCGTACGACCAAACAAATGATCAGAGTTAACGGTTTAATCGTCAAATCACGCAGAGCCAGGAGGTTTTTTAGTAATAGTCCCTGTCATATGACTGGCTGCGACGTCGCGGTGGGCTGTGGTAGGAGCGAGAGCGGCTGGAATAATGGAGGGGAAAACAAAACCAAAGAGAGGGGGGTTAGAATGTCAGATTTGTTTCCAGTGTTAATTTGACTCCAGAACCTTCTGTGACTATGTCAAATGAGGTTTGCAATAGGGTATCAAGAAACAAGGACAGATTCTTTTATATGTAAGAAGTGTGACGTCAGTTGAAACCTCGTAACTTCAACACTGCATCATTTATTTCCCTTTGAGTTGTGCTCATTTACATACAGGTGCAAATACCGTGCAAATGGGTAAGTTAAAAACCCATGTAATGGGTGAAAGCTTGAAAGCTCGGCAGAGTTTCCCCCCCCCAAAAAAAGTGTCGTTTTGGAAAACACTTTTGCTACAAAATATTAAAATGGTTACCTCATCAATTTCTTTTAAAACCTGGCTGACCTAAACACTCTTTTCTCAGTTCAATTTTTTTTTCATTTGATGGCTTGAACAGTCCTGTTTTACGTGCAGAAACAAAGAACACACCAAAAAAACCTGTTTACCTTCGGCTCCGAGAACGGCTACGGTAGTTACGACTGGAACTTCGGCTTCGGTGGCGGCGCGGGGAATACGATCTGGAGCGAGACCTGCAGTGGGTAACAACCAACCACCGAATAAAACATGTCCAAATACTGGGTGGCGTCTAACAGAATACAGACGTAATAAACAGTTAAAAGTTTCACCCAACTGCAAAAACTTTGAGCAGAAACAAATCAGATTTGCTTCTTCAGCTTTTGGGGGTTCTTTCAAAACAAAGCTTCAAAGCAAAGCCAACTGGAGACGCGACTGTTCAAAATGAAAGCGGTCAAAGGATATGGTACTGATGAGGAAATCCAGATGGATGATTACTTTGTGAATATGAAAACAAACAAAAACGCAAATCTCTAAGAAATTCTCAATGGGTCTCCATCGGTTAACTTTGAGAGTTTTCAGTTTCAAAAATATGGGAAGAATGCACAGCTAGGTCAACACATGGTATCAAACCCATGAGCGACACGTTCTTCCGAATACCACCCACCAGCATGACCACAAAACAGTTAAAACTCATACCTAATACATTAAAACTTGGATACCAGAAATGAACACTTTTTTTTGTCAAAAGAGAAACAATGATTACACACTTTTTACACACACCCGTGTCCTTTTAAACCAAACAAGCTGACGAAATTTGGGGACATTTATGGCCCATCTATGGCACGACGGCACAAGGATCCGACACGGACGGAGCATGCTCTGCATGTTGGTCAAGTGTTGAGTCGCGTGGACGGGTCGTGCCGATCGCATGACGGGCTAATGGTGGCCGCGAGAAGTTCGTGTCATGGTGGTCATGTGCTGAGTGGTGGCGATGCGACGAGCGAGCTAGTGGTTTTGTTTGGGTTTTTATTATGTTTTTCTAAGCTGATCTAGCCGCCCAGGGCCCTGTTGGGGGGGTTGGTTGAACCTAGAGCCGTCGAGCTGTTCAGCTGACGAACTGGTTAGCTGACTAGCTGTCTTTGGTTAGCTGACTAGCCCTCTTTGGTTAGCTGACTAGCTGACAAGTGCGCTAGATGGGGCGATACTGGGGGCTCCTGTAGGTGAGTTGAGTGCGAATACAGTGTCAAAACATATCAACATTTGTTTACTTAATTAAGAGAAAACAAGGCTTCAACTAAGTGAATTTTAAGTTTACAGACTTGACACGTTTTGGAAGTGATTCCCTTTTTAACTTATAAGCTTATCTCATTGAAATTTCAGTTGCCCAAAACATCCCTCAGTGTAAAATCATACGCGGAGAGCAAAGTTGGCTAGATCTTTCTTCTCATTAAAAAAATCAGGAAAATACATTATTTCAACTAGAGAGAACATCCATGTGTTTCCAAAAGGGTCAAAACATCTGCAAGAGACAGAAAAAAGGGAGAATCCACTGTACTACAAATTTAAAAAAAAAAAAAGCTAAGAAAGACAGATTCAAAACGACAATACACAAGGACCCCGTCCTTCCTCAAAGTTTTGAGATGAAGACAAACATGGTTGTCCTATACTGTCGTTATGTTTTATTGGAAGGAAATAAAGGGGGGAAAACAGAAGAAATCTCAGAAACTGGGAAAACTGCGAAGAGAGAGAGACACATTAAAAAGGAATACAAGTACAATGACTTTGTGACTTCAAAAATAACGTCTATGACTGCACCTGAAATGCACATTGATCTACGATGGCTTTCACT